AGAATTCTTGGTTTTGTTTTTTTTTTATTTTTTTTTTCTTTTAACATCAGCATTGGCTCTGCGGATAGTGCCAAATACAGTGGCCAAGTGCTTAATATCTGCTACAGGGTAATATCCCAAGCACTCCAGCCCTATTCCTCAAAATAACGAATCATATTTTACCTATAGTTTTCTAATATACATTTTTAATTTTCTATCTTGGGTCAAAGGTTATATATTGAATATTTAATAAAGATTTGATTGCAGTACCGCTTAGTACAAAAGGGAAAAGACGAGCACCGAACAAACACCTGTAATGGCACTTGCAGGCTATTTGCTGAGCACATTCCACTGACTAGAACAGGGACTCCCCCCCGGGCTCGTACAATCAGCACCGATTTTGCATCGGGCGGAATCTTTTCCTTCATCTTGGCAGTGGTAAAAACATTCCTTGAACCTTCATACCTTCGTATGCTGGCTCGTAGTTCTTCGTGAAGCTATCAAGCCTATTCGTACCAGTCATCTATTACAGTAAATTAAACGCTCTTCTGGCTGCCAGTAGCCAAGTGCAGGTATATTGCTTTATATATTATATATTGCTTTGAGAAATTAGCTAGTGCATCCTAATTATAGCTGTCCTTCGACATCTCGGTGAGGCTGGGATTGTACAGGGAAAGGCGGCAAGTAGTACACGCTTAAAAGCAAGTTTCTTCCAAGCGGACACAAACACTCTAGCAAAATTCTGGAGTTGGGGAAGTATGCTGTTTTCCTTCAGAAAACCATTAGGTGTTTATCTCGATAACAGATCAGCTAGGTGGGATAACCACTCCAATTCCGGACAGATCAGCACCTTCCTGGAAGGCTGCGTTCAGAAAACCCATGGTGCGTTGATACAGGAGTAGGCATCTTCGCATTACTGAGGAACATGGGAACTCTCTCAGCAGATCACATTAGCAACTCCAAGTTAAATCTTTAATAATAGCCAACACCACCTGCATCAGAAGGTGCAAGGACCCTAAAGAAAACCTGGGAACAGCTCATCTACAAGTGAAGCTCCTTATAGTTCCACCACGCCCCGCGCCCCCCGCCCAACTTAGCTCCTACTGGCAGCCCTGATTTTCTGCTCTCATCCTACCTAGGTGTTTGGGTGTCATACCCATTATAATGGTACAGATGAGATGCTTAAATAGCCCTAGAAATCATTAGGCTTCAGTTAAAAAAAAAAAAAAAAAAGCTTAACTTACCTGTCCAACTTAGAATTTTCATGTTCATGAGTACTACAAGTTCTGCCAAGATTTAAGGGACATTTACTTTTTGGCTCCTTGTAAAACAATTCTTACTGAAGCTGACACATTATTGAAATGGATACATTTCCACTTCTATATTTCTGACACATTGTTTTTGGTGGGTGGGGGTAGAGTTCCATGTAAACCAGTCTATGAAGTCATGGCTGGAATGCTTACTTTTGAGTCATTTAAAATTGAGATGAATACCAGCTTTTCAACCCATACCTCTCATTAGAACAAAAGCTGCCCTTCACAGATTTGCCCTTATTGCCATCAAGAATGACGTAATCGTTCAATAGCTCTTGTATTGTATATTTAATTGTCTTCAAAAGGATGCGTTACAATTGGAGGAGATGACACTTAAATGTATTAGTAAACTACACAGGGAGTTGTGCAAAATTAATTTCTGTCCTACAGCAAGAATGAACAAGATTATCTTATTGCATGAGAGATTCCAGAGGCTTTATCTTCCCCTCAGCACAGAGTCTCCATTAAGATTAGGCAGTCACAACTGCACATTCCAATGGAGAACACAAAGCATATAAAATCTTCTTATTGAGTTAATGACTCACCTCCCTCCTATCCCTTTCTCCTGTTCAAGAACACAACCCAAGGCACATGCTCCATAAACCTAGACATGACAAATTCAGCACTCGGGAGACCAGGTCAGTGACAAAATTCCTCTCAGCTCTGAAAGGAGCTGTTTTAAGAAGTCCATAAGCAGAGCTAATAGAGGGTTTGCAGGATGAAGTGACACTGCATGGGGACTTCTCCAACATACAGCACAGCGTTAAAAAAGTTCCACATGTAGGACAAATAAGCAATAAATTTAAAATAGAGCAAGTGTTACTGAGGGAAGGTGTTCCCACTGATGCTGGTTTTTGTTACCAGAAAAGTACATACATTTCTTTACAGCCCTAAGCCCTGAATTTTGGAACCATGCTGCTCCAATGGCTTTGTCACCAGGTACTAAAATTGTCATCTTTTTTTTTTTTTCCTTTCCAGTTCCCCTTTCCAAAGAGTAGCTTGGTGACAGCAAATTCAAGCCTGGGGCCAAAGGGAAAGAATCAGCTTTGCTCTTCTCCCCTAAAAACTTGCTTTTTAAGCGTAGCTCAAGCTTACCACTGGGTGGAAGCCCAGGACAAGACACTAAAGATGTCCTAGGTGTTTTCAGAGTGCAGAGGATAGAGCCTGGAATGATAGTGCTGGAGACTTACTGTCCAGAATTAGTCACAGAACAAGCTAATTCATCTCCATATAGCTGCTCTGATAGCAGGACTCGCATCCAATTTGGTGAAACTGATTGCAGGTATGCCACGGTAATTCAGTGGTCGTGATCCAGGCCGTACTGCACTGGTGTTTGGAGGTGTGTATTTGAATGAGAAACAAAAATAATTGCTTTAGATGGTCTTGCTGTCTGACTTCTCTTGACTCACTGCTGCTCCTTGAGCTCAGCGGAGGGCTGAGAGCTCTAGAGTAACCTGCTGGGGAAGCAAATTCCCAAGTTTTTGAGTATCCTGCGCTCTCAGACTGATACCAAATCCCAAGGCAAATGATTTGTGGGAACAGAACCCTTCAAAGTCCATCTGAGATCTGTATGTTGTTGCAGCAGATGAATTTAATACCAGTGCCAGAGGGAGAGTGGAACGGTGTTGATGAGACTCAAGAATTCAGCAGGCAGATAGTGAGCAAACTTTTCTGCTAGAGCACTCTGACAGTGCTCATCAGCCCTGGCCTGGCATGGCCCTATCCTTCCATTTCTCAAGAGTTCACGGACCAAGCTCTGCCATAAACCAAAGACCATCTGGGAACACTAAACTGTCCTTGCGCTTTATAAGAGGCAGGATGTCTTTTATAAAGTGTCTCTATGTCCTGGCCAAAGGCCAAGTGGGCTAACAACCTCTCTTCTTCCTCTTCTCAGAAATCCTGGTGGCTTTGACCCGATCTCCTCTGCATACTGTACATTTTTGCATTACGTAGAATTTGAGCTACCTGCGGAATACACTGGATGAGTTGGAGGAAAGCTGCTTTTTGTCAAGTGTGCCAGTTTC